TTTGTTATGGAGTAATGTTTAAATTAAAACAAATAAATCGAAAGGAAGTCAGTACAAGAACGTCGTATGATCTCCTTTAAATATTTGTGTAAGAAATACCTACTTACTAAATGAAAGAAGGTCGTTATACACAGATTGTTTGTTTTACTTCTTCAGTTAGTGATAACGCGATAAAAATATTTTCTGCACAATAACTATAGAACTAGTTTCACTATAATCTAATTTTTAGATAGAATTCCAATTCAAAACCTTATCTTGTCAATAATGAATCTTTTTAAAAATATTATAAATACATATACAAATACATTTACAATTAAAGTCAAAGTCAAAATCATTTATTCCAATTAGACCCTAACAGGCACTTTTGAACGTCAAACAAAATTTTGAAGATATAGTGTCAGTCTGTCGGTCAGTCCTCTTAGTGAAGCTATTTGCTCGTTCCAAAGTGTAGATTTCGATTACGATTACATACTCAGTGCTGTCGTGTCGTAGAGTTTTCATGTACTTTGAACAGAACAATACATTTTAATTCAGGTTCTGAAAACAGCTTCGTTGTTTTTTGGGAATTTTCTCGGGTTTTCACGATGATTTCGTTATGTTTTTCGATACAAAAGTTGTCTGAGTTTTATTCAATGTAGTAACGTCTTAAGAGAGATTAGTGCGTAAAATATGTAAATTATTTGAAGATTCATTATTATTTATTTAGATATAGATAAGGATTTGTATGGTTCATTCTACGTTGCGAGACGAGCCTATATGCTTTGTTCATCGTTGGTGTGTGACGCATGTAATAACAACTATTATTCAAATGTTTCTTAGAACATGTCATTACTTGATCTTTTCCGTATAGGTAACGTGTTATTTATTACGGAATGGAAAATCTGTCGTAGACTAATTAAGGAGTGTGCCAAGTCATCATCATCAGCCTATAAGTGCCCACTGCTGAGCAAAGGCCTCTTCTCATACGGAGAAGGTTAGAGCATTAATCACCACGCTTGCTCAATGCGGGTTGGCGATTTCAAACTTATAATTAGAAATTATAAGTCCAGGTTTCCTCACGATGTTTACCTTCACCGTATGTCAGTGGTGTCTAAATAATCATAGAAAGTACATATAACTCGGAAAAAGTCATATTGGTACTTGCCAAGTTTCGAACCCACGCCCTCATACATGAGAAGCGGGCTCCTTAACCTCCGGGCCACCCTTAACCTCCGGGCCACGTGTGCCAAGTATTGAGTCAATTCTCCAGGCAATGCAAAAAATAGTACCACTGCCTAGCAGGCGATTTCATAACCTTTGTCAACCGTACAATTAAATAAATAATCTATTATATTGGGTTCTTAATTATTTTGCACATCATGTTTTGGATATCGGCTCGGCTTCTTTAGTTTAAGTAAACACAGTGAAAATATTTGTAAATACTACAATAGAGATTAACATTTGGATCCAAAGTCATTGATAGTATGAATAAAATTCAATGAGTTTGATTATATTACTTTAGGTGTGTTCCTTTTACCTTAGACATACACGGTGCTACTGGATAAATACGAAAAGCCTAAGAACACTTTGATCAACGTCCAAACTGATTTTAAATCAGCCTGTTCAGAAGTGTAACTTGCGTCAAACAGCGAGACAGTTAATTATAAATATCTGAATCATTTATTATATCATGTTACTTCCAGTCATAATAGATACACTTTAACAATAACAATAATAACATTGATTAAATAATGATCGTATCAGCTGCTGCTGTAAATATCAATATCATTAAGAATTTTTAATATATCATTATGATTAACCTTTGGTTCATAGATATATAGCATACATTATTTGTTGTTTAGCGCAAAACTTGACTAGCTTTATTTATTAGTACAATGTGAACTTAGCTCTGACTGTTTTCTTTGTCTTGTGGTTAGGAACGAGACAAGAACAAGACATTAGGTCCTAAGTCTGAGCCCAGGGGTATCCCATTGTTAGGTTTTGAGAGTCGTTTTTTACGTTTAGCACTGGGAATGTGATAAATGTGTGTGTGAAATTTGTGAATTCTAAATAATATATCATTGTAGTAATTACCCAACCGGGAATTAGGTAATTATCGACAAAGATTTAGAGATCAACTGTGAAAAAAGGGAAAATAATGGATTTCATTTAAGCGTTCGAGACGAATAGACAGGGAATTACATGAGCGACGAGCGTTCAAACAATTAGCAAATAATTGTGGTTTACAAAGTTTTGTGCAACGGTTTCCTTGAGTAATAGATATTATGTATACTGTTTTAAGATAAAGGTATATTTTAGTTAGGGAGTCTGATAGAGAGTTGATGAACAATGAATAAAATAAAAAAGTTGAGGTTTATTTTATTTGAAATAATAAATATAGTAAACATTAAAAAAATAAATCTGAAAACCTCTCTAATTTCTACCTAATAACAGATACACGATAGCAGTCACAAATCATCCAGTTGTCCAAACAAGATGTTAAGCAACATTTAATTTTCTAATACAACTAAATATATGTCAACTGCTACAGTTTCAAATACAGGAACTAAAATAACAGTTCGAACTAATCAGACTTGAGTAGCTAATGACACAGAAAATACCAATTTACTCTAGTTGTCTTGTTTAATGGAATAATGGCTAAATGGTACATCGTTCACGTTTCCTAGATTAGAAATCTATAAATGGAAAGACAAGCTAAAAGGTAACTGAATTAAAAGAAAATGCTATGTTTTTAATTGACGGTGGATTTTTACGCCTGAAAACGATATATGATATTATATGCTTACTATGAACAATTTAATAAGACTAAAATATGAGCAAGTGCTACGCTATGTGTGTTCCGTAAATTTTCATTTTGCCTGTGAGTTATACATAAAGTTGACTACTTAAACACAATAGGAATCATCATAGACTTCCCTCAACGTGGTGACAACGGGGGAAGTGCCATATTTTTACTGTGCCATGCTAAAACCACTACGGTGTTCCTCCTCTAGATATGCCTTGACCCTGGTCAACTGTGTAGATTCACCGTACCAATTGAGTTCAAAGTGAAGCCATAAAAGTAGCAAATATATCAGTGTGGGGTCTAAGAATCTTAGTGTAACAATCTATAGGTATATTGTGTGAATGTTTATAAACAACGTCGCGCCTCGTCACAAGATTTCAGTATCACTGCACGTTGCATATCGGTAAAAAAACAAAAGAAAAACAAAATTGTTAATAAGTGTCATTTTTAAATTCACTTTAAAAAAACGTCGTAAAATTCTGTCTATAAATAGTTACATGCAGTTGCGCATTTCTTGATCGCCTGCTAGAGTTACCTTGACCGTCGTCACTTGAAGGAACAACGCCTCAGTTTTTGCTGAGTTTCAGCCGCTTTTGAAATCTAGTCCAGTGTTATTGAACTCTGCTTCGAGTAACTCCAATGAACGTTGAAAGTAATCTTGTTAGATCGTCTTAGTTGATTTATAATTCAACTTGACTAATGTATTATTGAATTTTTGTATTATTCCAAATAAAAGTCTAATATTATTTTTATAATCATATGTCATTGGAGATTTGTTCCCTCAAGAGAGAGGTTAACGTACCGATGCTAGTGGTATTACTACTAAGTTTTTTTTTATGTGATAGCTCGGCAAACGAGCAGACGGATCACCTGATGGCAACTCATCAACAGAGGAGTTACGAGTGCGTTGCCGACATTTTGGGGATAAGGGATTTGGAGATTTAGGGATCGGGGAAAGATTGTGGGGGGGATTTGGCCTCCCGTAACCTCACTCACAAAGCGAAACCCAACGCTGTGGTTGTTTCACGCCGGTTTTCTGTGAGGCCGTGGAATTACTCAAGTCGAGCCAGCCCATTTGTGTCGAAGCATGGCTCTCCCACACTTAAGTTTCAAGAATGCTACCGTCCGAACGTGATTGTATGACCAGTCTTAAACTCAATTAACTGTCTAGCTATCTTTATTTTTTTTAGTCCATTTTTGCCTATGCCATTAAATAATAAGACATGTTAGATATTAAGAATAAACAAATCGCTAAACTAGTTTATATATCTATAAGACTTATAAGCGTAATTAATAGTCGTCCAATAAACAATTCCTTTGTGTAAAGTTAGTCAAATGTCATACAACCTTTGCACTTATTTGAACAAAATCGACAAAATCCGACTTATCGAAATCTAATTAGCTCGAGGAACATTAATCACGTGTATGTGTGTGTTATATACACCGATAAACATTACATAATTAGTAACAGGCTTAATTTACTTTCGAACTGCACTCAATTATGACCTTTACCCTCCGCAAGATAAGGTTTACAAACTCATGAAAGTTGTTTACATTTTGTTTTAAGGAGTTAACTGTTGATGAAGTCTGCCATTTTGCACGTATTCGGAATTTTGATACGGTTAACGTGTGTAAATGTAGGAATTAAAAGTATATGTATAATAACACATCTTAAGTCGACATGACTAACCCAGGTTCGACAATGAATTACCTACACATCTTGTTTTATTTGAGTCATCAGTATAGTTACTTTTTAAAAACTATGAATGATATTGAATATGACATCCAACCTTCTTTTTGGAAAATCACATTTTTGTGCACCAAAATCTTTGGAGTCGTAAATTCTAAACTTGTTATGACAGCTCTTTTAAAAATATGGTTCCTTTGGGATGGGCATTCTTTGAAACGAAACACAGCTGTGATTAAGAAAACGTCATAGCAAACAAAACAGGAACGACTGAATCTAATTATTGAGTTTTTTCTACCATAGCAAAAGTATAGTAAAAGAACTATTCAAAAATGTTCTTGAAAGAGTTGTAAATATGGAACGCAATAACCCCAGGCAAGTTATAGCACTGGTCCTGGTGGCTGATAAACCTACGGAATATCATATTGTAAAACAAATGAATGCACATCGAAACGCCTAGGTATAATAAGTAACCTTAAACAACTATTTTATTCCTAAATAATTAGAAAACAATAGAAATGTACTCACCGACTTCATCAGCATTCACCAACTTGGTAGCAATTGATCGTAGAGAGGTGGCACCAGCTGAGCTGAACATGTCCAGCACTGGGCCCAGAAAGTATATGGTCCTGGTTGGGGCCATGGCATACACCACGCTAGCAGCAATCCTACTCAGGCACGCGATCACACCGATGATGCTGTCTTCAATGTTCCATCTTTTGCTGAACAAATATATTGTTATGAAGGAACCTGTGCAAAGAAATTAGAACTTAAAATGTGCAGATAGTTGCAATCTGTCTAGATACTTTTTGTCCTATGAACTCTACGATGTATACAAAAATAAAAGTGTTCTTATTTCAAAAGATAGACAATTGACGACATAATTTGAATTTGAATCTACCTCAGAATACAGGATATGTTACTGTTATTCCTATTTATTAAGACTTATCTATTAGTAGAAAGCCTAATAAGTTTCAAGTCAATACGAAATAAAAGACTAAGATACCTGAACGTAACATGTATTACAATCAGTTCCTACATAATAAAAAGACTTATAAAATAAAGAAAATCTAGTACATAACATCATCGCAGAATGATAGGTATTAATATTCTTTGTTTTTTTTTTGTTGTACTGCATTTTGTACCATTATAAGCCCGTTGACGTACAAATCGTGTCAATTTAAACAAGAAAATATTTCATTATCTGTAACAAGATGGCGATTAAGTAAATGTTTGTGTTGAAAATCTTTGTGGGAGTGTTGTTTTAACGTTAATTTCGTCGTCTGAACTAAACATTGCGTGCTATAAACGTTTTACTTACTATTTTACACACCTTGGTAACTAATATAAAATTAGAAGAGAGAGATTAGTTTACTTTTATAGTAACTTTATTTATTTTAGTAACTCGGTTTCTAGTAAAAACACAACAATGTCGAAACTTTACAAAGTCATTTGTAAAATTATTGCTATCTCTTTTCATTTTATCTTCTACGCATTATATGTAAAGGCCAAGTAGAGTTTTGTTGCGTGCATGAAAATGGACGTCATTTCTTTAACAAAATCATTTTTTTTAAACATCATCTATTTAACCTTCAAGAGAGCTAAGTTTTTATTATTTTAATTTTACTCTAAAAGTGCTAGATCACAAAGTTCAGAATATATTGACGTATTGTTTTCTAATATTTATTTCGTTCTTGATATATTTAGTTGATTTAAGCTCTTATTTTTATATACTCGAACTAAGTAGTTTTACCTAGGTACAGTCCGATCAGGCTAAGTAACTTTATCCTATTATTGCCTACTAAAAACTTCCTCGATTGTCTCCATACATTTTAAAGTATTCCATGCTATTGTTTAGTTGATATTACAATTCTAACGGTTGTTTCATCTTGTTTATAAAGTTTTAAGTCAACAATTTGTCAAAAGATGGTTATTTTGTGAAACCATCGTTATGCAAAAGATAAATTACTTGTAAAGCCTCGTTTACTTTAAGCTAGTCATATAACAAATATATTACAAAGTGTTTAAAAAATGTTGAGTCGGTTTAATTAATAGATAATAATTATAGACATTGAACAACTTTTGTATATGGCTAAAATGAGAAAAAAGGCAAGACAGATTAGTTATTTAAAACGGCCGTTACTGATCAAAAGTCAAATAAATAAATTAGACCACTTAGGGTACATGTTAATTTGTTAGCGATTTCTTTGCAAAGGTCATTTCGTTGCCAACACTAAGTTTATTTTAAGAAAGATCACACGTGTTCGCTTCTTAATATTCCACTAATTATATTGCGCAGCTAATAATGTAAATAAGAATCCAGTTTTTCTATCTTCTATTCGTAATCTATGTATGTCATTTTTTAAATAACATCACTAAATTCAATGAACAAATGAAAACAATTCAACAATTAAATAATTGATATTTCATGTACGAAAACCACGGTGTAACCTGAGCTATCCGAGATTACTATGGCATTACGTTCATCCAGTGAGGGTTTTCGAATACTTTTTCTGCCGCCAGGCGGCGCTTCGTACGTGTAAGGTCCAAACAGCTGTCCGATAGAACAGATTTTTACTGAATTTGCTATGTTTTTATAAAAACTATCGTGAGACATACTAAATTAACTAAAAATTCGCGGGTTGCTCACGTTTGTAATTGAGAAAAGCTCTACTAGTTTCGAACCACAGAGGGGTTCTTCCTCATGAGCAGCGTGCGCGGACGCGGCGACGTCGCGCAGCCTACTAGTAGAGCTTTTCTCAATATACATACGTGAGTAACCCGCGATTTTTAGTTAATTTAGATTTTTACTGAATGTATAATTTTAGTAAAATCTGTTGTATTTGGAAGTATTATTGATTTTATTGTGGATTACAGCCAAAGAAAGGTTGGCGAATTCAATTGAGCGATTGAGCTCAAAAAGAGTGACTATGTGTGTTTATTTGCATACATAGGCAACGCACAACACCGTAGAATTATGGAAAACAATATTCCATTTGTAATAAAACGAAAAAAAAAAACCCCGAAAAATATAAATCGCGCATGTTTTTTAACAGGTTGTTAGATCTCACGCTACAGAAGACGCTTTTGTTCATCTTTTTTATGCGTTTTGTTGCTTTATAGATTTTTGTTGCTTCCTTTGTGTATGACTTTAAATACTATTTAAAATTTTAAATATTTTTGTAAAAAACAGTCCTCCAATCGAATCCGAATACAATTTAAAAAAACAGTTTTAATGAAACTATATTACTACTATAGAATTTCAAGTATCGATTATTGTATTCGCCTCTTATTGATTTATCGATTTATAGGTATTATATTTACAACGGTAAATACACTCGTATGAGAACTGTGAAATTTAATTTACTTGCAGTTATTTAATGCGATACGCGAAAAATACTGTTATACGCTTTTTAATCTACACGATCGTAATCGCCTTGTTAATAGAGTAGCCATAAGAACAGTTTTTTTGACGAGGTAAAATAACAAATGACCACTCTCGCCCTGGCTGCAGCGAGAAGGAGTGTCAGACTCTTATTGACTAAAAACCATCCCCATTCCATTTCCTACCTCCTGGGGCAAGAACATAATCATGTTCTTGCTCGCTAGATCCGCAACCCCTGTTGAATAAGTACATTGCTGTGCCAGAGGTTTTAGGTTGGCTTTCAGGGTAGGGTTGTTAGTTTTTTTTATTGTGATTCAGGTAGGTTGTTTTTTTTTCTCCTTCCTATAGTATTTTATTTGAGTCCTTTTTCTTTTATAAAAACTGTCTTAAAAATATTATAAATCGCTGATCTCCTCGACTTTATCATTTGTTTCCGCAAGGTTTTGTCGGTTTTATTAAAATAGATCTTATTTTAACATTACCAGGAAGGAACAAATTAAATCATTCGAATTTCGAACAAAACAGTTAAAACGGAATATTTATAATGTTTTAATATATTGATAACAATTCCAATTTTTATGGCCTCATCACTAAATTAATTTAATGTCATTATAATGTTAATGTTTATATAGCAACGTATATTATTACTAATTTATTTATGTAAAAAACATTGATATACCTAGTGTGTTTTTTTTTTTTATTCTGAACAAGTTTCTGGAAATTTTCGCCAACTTTTTTTTATATCAAAAGCCCAACCAACCTGTTCTTGTTACTGGCAGAATGCCAAAATAGATGCCAGAATATTATACGAATTCAGTTTTGTGAATATTTTAATTTTGTTTTTTTTTTATTTTGATCCTCCAGGGTACCGAAGAGGCGACTTTTTATTTTTATTTTTAATTAAATTAATAAGTTGTACAATTTACTACAGATCGCTGTAGTTTCAGATTTAATAACCAACCGAATGTTTTCAACACGGAGTAACACGCACGGATTAGATTTAAAACTGTAATATCAAAAAAAAATTTGTTTCTGTAATCCTTCTACACATCGCTTTTATAGTATCAATGAATAACTACAATACAATATAATATGTCATATCATCACAGTGACGATATTGATTATTATTTCATCGCCAACGCAGTAATAGCTGAACTGATTTTAATGAAATTTGATACACAGATAACTCACGCTTGAATATTATATAAACATGTACGGATGTGGGTTCTTTTTTAAATCTCTTTTACCTATTTACTAACTGAAAAAGAAAATGTGATCTACATCAGATAAGAAACAACTAAAGATAAAAATCCCAAATTACTGATTAACAAATCCGGATTGCCATAAACCGGACACTAAACGAAACTTTCAAAAAATATGAAAATTTAAGAAAATTTTTGGAATGTTGCATTTACGACCAGTCGATCGAAGAAGTAAAGATAGAGAGAGAGAGAGAGAGAGAGAGAGAGAGAGAGAGAGAGAGAGAGAGAGAGAGAGAGAGAGAGAGAGAGAGAGAGAGATAGAGCGAAAGAGAGAGAAGCCTTTTGTTACAAGTTCCAATCGTCTTAAAAACACAGGACAATAAAATATAAATAAATATTTTTTTATTTACGTCAGAGAAACAACGGCCATGTATTGTTTATTTTTAATCATGGCGTCTTTTCGACACTGTCAGAAGACGAGACGAACGAAGTATTGTTTTGTTTGTCCAATATCAGATTGTAAATGAAAATGTTAATTGTATTTACTGTCAATTTTAGAACTGCGCCACACCGAATCTTTTTAACATCAGTGACCTTTTTTCTATTAAGATTTAGGTATTATTTAATTTATATTACTAAAACTTGAAGATAGTGAAGTTTTAAACTTTTAACATAAAATTTAAATCTGTTTATTTAGATATCGATCTCAATTTTCTGGTAATGAACTTGGATTTAATAATCCGCATTTTCCATTCTAAACCTCTATAACTTTCTGACGGGACAATAAAGAGTCAGTTTATAGCAGCCGGGTGCAAGCGAAATAATGTACGGCGGCCTCGGCTCGAAGTAGGAGGTCGAACGGGGTGATTTTCAGAAATTAAATTCTGACACTCCACTTGCTAAATCCAGAGCAAGAAGTGCCAAATCTCAAAAAACAAGAAATCTCAAAAAAACCTATAGCAGGATATGTAGGAGCAAGAATACTAAATTCTAATTTTATGTGCATGTAGCTATCGGTAACAAAAAAAACCGTGAAAAGGTAGTTGTATTTCTACCTACTTACATAAACTCTATTGTTTCGTACATATGTGCAAATTCTTAACTGTAAATAGAGTTTATTGACAAAGTGCTATATACGTATTATGGTAGTTTAAAACAATGTGATTTTATTTTTGCGGTCTTGTTACTGGGCGCGTGGCGCCAGGTTTTATCGAAAAAGAAAAATCCTTGTTCTATCATCACCTTTGTAGGAATGTGCAAAAATTTTCGGAACATTCATTTAAATACATATACGTACAACATATACGTATTATGAAGATTGAGCATTTTAAAACTTGTTCAATCAAAACACGGCTTGTATTTGAAATTGGAATGTCACCAAATTGTACGATCCATTGAAATCCATTATGGCTGCCGCGCAGATACGCGCTTCGCTAAAATCACAGATAACAAACTATGTTACCACTTTATTTTAAAAATAAAATAATATTCGTTCTAGGTAGGCTTATTATTAGTCATTTTAATTTCAAATAACGAAATTAAATTATGTTAATGTAAACATTTTTTTGCAGCTCATTATTTTCGTTGGTAATTTTTTTTTCTAACCACCGACAAATATGTACAACGCAGTTTTCTTATCTATGGCAACACAACGAGGTTATACAAAATTTTCAGAACTATTTCAAATCGCACGCTGTCATAATATTTATAAAACAATATTATCGTGTCATTTAATTATATAGTAATTAATCTTTTTCACCGTGTACTTTTCCTTAAAATACTTTTAAAGTTTGTTCAAAAACTCTTTGTATCTTTGGTTACTGTTTAATTTCTTTTATTGGGGGATTTGAAAACAAATCTGCGTGCGTATTTGCTTTTCTTTTATCGCGATAGAATTCTTGTTTGAACAGGTTTAGTTGGCACGTTAAATTGCGCAAAGATTTGTAACTATAAGTCCTCTTGATATTGGATATTTTTGCTATTTGCTGATTTGAATAACGAAATTTTTTCTAGAATTTTAAATTACCTTGTCGAATCATTTATCTTTTTTTTTATTTTATATTATTATCAAGCAAGCAAATTCGAAATTTAAGTAGGCAAATGATATTTAAAATTAGAATACGATTTTTTTTAATGATTAGTAATTTAAAAAAAGTTCTTATACAAACATAAGTAGGTATATATTTTTAAATAACAATAAGAATTCTAGAACTTCAGTGGTTGTAGCATAATGACGTGCAAATATGCACTTTGATTTTCCATAACAGGTCACATTTTCGCGTGCATAGCTGCCGAGAATTATAGAACGTGCGTACATCTTACTTATTTAGCTTTAATTCTCCGAAATATCTCTTTGTGTAGAAAATTTTTCTTCGACGCGATTTCAAAGTCAGCAATATTTTTCTAAAAGAGTAATTTTTACTTTTTTTTGATGTTTGACCAATATAAGACAATATCACGTTTCTGTTGCTCTCAATGGTAGATGGAAGCACGTTTTGATCATTAAAATAATAACATATCATAACATTTATATTCGCCGAATATTCTTCTAGGCTAAAACACAGGAAGAAAGATACTTTATTCCAAAAAAAAAACGCTTGTGTGTATATCGCAACACGCTAGATCAATAAGCCATTTGATTCACGGCCTAGCCTGTTTAATAACTGACATCGGTTGCCATTTTCGGTTCGAGTTTACGGGCATAATTGCGACACCGTTTCGCGATCCAGCATCGGAGTAGGAGAAGAAACGGGAATTATTTAGTCAGAAAAATTCAGATATTCCAAACAGAGACAAGAGTTTTAATCCCATTTGGCTATCAGAACAGACAATATTTAATAATAAAGTGATATATAATAATAACATTAAGGCTAAGTCAAAAACTGGAACATTTTTTCATTGTTATTTAAAGGTCATGCATGGAATGACTTATAAAGGACAGGAAAACTAGCAAATTGACTACTCATTTTTCTTAGTAAATTATATTTTCAAAAGAAGTCTGAAATGCCTAAAACACTTTCAATCGTATTAAGTACTTTAAAAGTAACATACGTAACGGTAACGATATTTAAATAATTAAAAACTGTTACTAATTTAAAACTAAGTAACTGCCTACACTTTTTGTCCAATCAAATGATAAGAAACCCTATAATCTTTCTAAGCACGAACATAATTAAATATTATTATATTAGTACAAAGTATAACACAATTATAATAATAATCAATAACCTTTTGATCTCCTTGGTGAGATTCATCCATTCAATACAAGTTTAATCTGGATTTTATTCTAGCCACAAAGAATGGTTGAACTAAATAAGATTTCAAGGAGTTAGAGTATTTCTTTCTTCTAAAAAAATTAAGTTTTGGCTGATTAAATAAAATCTTCGAAAAGTCGTCACTGGTCGAGCACATTTTTATTTAACGGGTAGGTCACATAGACTACCGTTCATACTTTGGCCAACCAGGGTATCGAACCCGGGACATCGACCTAATTAATTAACCAACGAGGCCAAAATATCCTCTCGAACAAAATCTTATTTAAATGATTTTAAATGCTAGAGATAAGGATAAAGAAAATGAAATTATAAAGATAAAAAAAAATAAACTTACCAACACTGCCAACAAGGACGGAGTAAGTGAGGAATAAACTGTAGTCCACCTCGGTGAATTTGAACTTGTACCGAGTGAACCAGTACGTCATCTGCGCCTCACCTTTATCCCAAACGAAACAGGTATTAGTCAATCTGCCACCGAGCACGGCAATCTGCAAACATCACCTATAAAAGGTTCTGTTCTAGGCAACTGCCGACTACCTCACTTATGGGACACATATAAATTTAGGAATGGAAAGAAAAAGAAAGAGACGGTACAACAAAAGAAAATGCAATGATGAAAATGACATAGCCAGTGGAGGGCACAAAGGAAAATATAAAGGAAAACAACCAACAACCAAAAGGATGTGAGCACTGAAGTTGAGGAGGATGATGAAGAAGAGAAATAATGATATAGTATAATTTGAAAAGGCATTTGTGACATTACGGGATAAGAGAAAACTTGTAAAAATAAAGAAGAAAGTCAGTAAATAGAAATAAGATAGGTAATAATAAAGTAAGTTGATGAAGTGAAGAAAAGTTATGAAAAAAGAAACGGAACGATAGAGTAGTGAAAAGGTATAAAAAGCTTAAGAAATTGGTCGTGGCATAGATTTTAGACACTAGATGATGTTTAAAAAAAGAACGTTAGACACCAAAGTTTAAGAAAGCCATCATGATACTATTTTAGTAATATCAAGAGTAAAAAAAAACTCTGGAAACTTTAAAAGCAACTTCCATTCTATTTTAATTCATTTAGTTGTTCCTATTATTGATCACAACTTCGGGTTAAAAGTGACTATAATAAAATTTTTAATGTACCTAACAAATCATGTTATAATCGTATAGACGCTTAGGTACTTAAACAACAAAGTTGTAATTAATGGTTGTAACGATTTGATGCGTTGTTGCGTTGCTTACGCGTGTAATGTTTTACACAAACACTATAAGTGCAGCGCGATCACGCCAGAGATTTGAAGAACAAATTGTGGTAAATGAGCTGCTGGTATTCCTGCAGCTCATTGCTCGATGGACTTCTAGGGGCTGATTTTGCAATGTTTAAATAAAAGTTATCTGGGGAATAATTATGATGCTGTCGCGTCAGAATGTTTGTATAAGACAGTGACAGCAACAATTTTATTCCTCAGATAACATTTATCTGACTATTGGAAAATCAGCCCTTACTTTATATATGTCTAAGTTTTTAAGGTCTATAGACCATCTATGGGCTATTGTCGCCTGAATGTAAAAGGTTAAATAAATAAAAAAAATATATTGCAAGTACCGATACGTTTACCATTTTGAATTAGGTCTCATCACGATAAATATCATAGTCATATTTTTGAGAATTTTTTATTCGAAGCTACCAAATACTGTATTTAAATAATGTGAAGACTTTAACATATACACAAAAATTCTATAACGAAAAAAAAGTCTAATACAAAACGAATGAAGGTTACTAAAGAAAATTACTGTTTTTTCATAAAAAAAAAACGTCAAACAAAGTTGAAAAAGGTTTGCTTAATGTTACACACTAATTAATTAAATAAACTTAACTATAATCAAAGAACTTAAAGTAACATGCGGGTTGAGTCACATAAAATCTATAAAAATAAACTTAACCCTTTAAAATACTGTAATTGTGTGTCCAAGACAGAAATCTCTCTAATGAGGATGACACTAGACATTGAATTATGGATAGTGTCATGTCAAAGTGTCGCGCTGGCCTTGAGAATTCACAATTTGTAAAGTACTAATGTGTCTTTTCTATCAATACCAAAATCACCTATTCTTAGATCCCTTTCAGCTCACAAAAGGCCGGCAAACCACTTGCAACTCTTTTAGTGTTACGAATGTCCATGGGCTTTGCCGATTGTTTACCATCAAGTGATCTGTCTACTATTACATCCTATGAAAAAGTTTATTTAGGTAACGGAAAGGTAATAATGAAGAAAATAGTTTTTTTTATCGCCTTAAGAAAATTTTATGAAAAAGCTCATAACTTATATGTGCGAGAGGCGGCCTTTGCTTAGCGGTGGGCATTCATGGGATAATGTTGATTATATATGTAATGCGGTATAATGCAAAATTTCGTATAGGTACTGTATGTATAGTGTAACTCAAATAAGTACTTTATATTTCAAATCAGGAAATGTTTCATATTTCGAAATCTCATAGCATTTTGGTTAATTTTTTTTCAAACCAGGTTTAGGTACCTACTTTTCACTAGGTACGTCGATTTTCATAAATAAGAGTTACTAAACATAGTATTTGTAAAACAAAACTTTTTGACAGGTACTTTGGTAGGTATTTTGAATAGGTATTCATATTGTGTTTGTTTTATTTAGTTAAGACGTAAGTTATACATCAAGTTTGCATATAAATGTTTGTATATTATATTCTTTTAAGTATATTATACACTTCTTAGTATATTCACAATTGTTTTTGAATTGATAATTTTAACAGTAATTTTCGTAAACATTTTTAATCATAAGCTATTACCACGAGCGTGAACATTAAATGTGATTGTTGTAAGTGCAAATATCTGAAACTTCTGTGTAATAAATAATACATAGGTATGTACAATGAAAAATATTTCTGGATAACAATGAATTTACATAATATGATCATCATCATCATCAACCTATAAGTACCCACTGCTGAGCAAAGGCCTATTCTCACACGGAGAAGGTTAGAGCATTAATCACCACGCTTGCTCAATGCGGGTTGGCGATTTCAAACTTATAATTAGAAATTATAAGTCCAGGTTTCCTCAAGATGTTTACAGTGGTGTCTAAATAATTAGCCAGGTTTCGTACCCACACCCTCATCCATCAGAAGCGGGCTCCTTAACCTCCGGGCTACCACGACATCAATGACCGCCACGACATAATATGATAGAGTATCTTTATTGCTAACCGCATTACGTCACATAAATAAACAAATTAAATAGCTGTCATAATACAAATTAAATTAATCATAGAAAACTCGATTAACTCCATATTGACAACAAAACATCATAGCTTGAAACTAGTCCAGAACCCTTGAAAGTTGCCAAAAATAAGCTGTGTATTTTAAATAACGAAATCAAATTTTATTATTAAAGATATTTATTGAATGTAATGCCATAGTTTTTCACGTACATTGACCTTAGAATACAGTTTCTAAGCGATAGACGACCCAATGAATTCAAAAGCACATACCGTGGACTACACTAATTGATCCCAGCCACCTACACCACTTATGTTGATTGCAAATTGTTTTGGCATTTGGTCGTTTTGTTTCTCATTCAGACTACTGATAAGCTAATTGGAACACAGTCCATTTTTAAATCCATTCGTGAAATTTTAAACTTTTTGTTATCTTGAGGTTATTACTCTAATCAGTGCTATATTTTGTATGACCCAGGAACATAATTATGATTAGATTTGTAAATTGTTGTAAGTTGTAATATAAATATACCTATTGGATAAAAGATGGGTGGTTTTATATATTTAGTTATGTATAATTATCGTATTGTATATCTCGTATCTATTAAGATTATTCTTAATAACTAAAGCTGGACATTCAGTGGTGTATTTAAGGGTAATTTGCACTGTTTTGTTTGCTATTAGACAAATGTAATTTTTGTATTTAATGTGCTCTTGACAGCTCTGTTAATCAAATGGCCTTCGCTTAATACGCGGGATGATATAACACAAAAATGATTAAAAAATATTAAGTCTTTGATTGGATACTTTAAGCAAATACGTAGCTGCCCGTCCAACAATAAAACGCGTGATGTTATGTTATTATATGTGATACATAATATTATAATTATTTAATACGTCCTTACATAATCTCACATGAAACACGTTTCACACGTGTATGACGTGAATTTAATAAAAATCTATAAAAATCTTAGTGTAGATAAGTCACGAAGTGCATTACGCGAGCAACCTTTAAATTCTGTTAGAAATAATTAATCGATAATTAATATCTAGTAAGATAAATTATCATTTTCTTATTTTATTGATAACTAACTTCGAATTCGACTGACTAGTCGCAAGTATGATCAATGACCTGAGGTTCTGAGGATGTCCAGGATTGCGGATAAAGTGCAGGCGACAGAAGATACAGGTTTCTTTTTGTTAAAATCATCAAATGACTTCTCCCGCCCAGGGTGAGGCGAGAGGAAGTGTCAGACTTTTACTGACTAAAAACCCCTGTTCCTTTTCCAGGTCTAACCCCGACTGAACATTAGGCCTATAGGGCCCCGTCTGTGGTGGTCTTTTGGCTCTTTGAGGTGCGCTTGACGGAGCACAGCGGTTAATTATGGGGTGGATTTTTATTTAGTGAGAGTCGGAAACTGCCTCTTACCCCGTCAGGAGTGGGCAAATCCATAAGATGAATACCCCCTCGATTCTCCCCCTCAAAAAAAGGCTGGGCTGGTTCACATGAGTCAAGATCACGCATGATTATAAATTCGCCTCTTAACACTCATAGCTATCTAGCGAAAAGTTCACCTTTACCTAAACATCTGTGGATTAAAGGGCGAAGTTCTAAATTGTAACAAATTTAAAACACTGGAGTTTAATTAATTCGGTTTAATAACCTTCTACCTTTTCAAGCTATTTCTTAAATACATCAAACCATTAATGTCAAAAGAATTTCATATGAAATCACAGTTTTTGATAGCATTAATATTATCAACTTCAATTAATATAAAGATGGTATAAAATTAATAATAGCATATCTCATTAGTTTCATAATTATCGGGCTCTTATTTGAGCCACAAGTTTGTGCTTATTTATAATAAATCAAAAATTTGAAGGACATTGACTTTGCAACATCTACCTCAGAAATGTTTAAGTACCAAAGTTGAATGAATGAGTGACCTTGAAACATTGAATAGCCATTTTTTTGCTCCTCATCTCTTAGGGATATGTCAAACGCAATTACGATTTAATTAATATTTTGTAAGTGTTACCTAAATCATTTTAAACCGGCTGATCTTTAAGTCATTACTTTACCCTACTTTGTATACCTCACCGACCTACCTTAACCTTCAATCAAGCATAAGAACTTTCATCTAACAATAACAAACAACATATGAATGAGCAAAAACGCATCAGCTGTTTT